AAAAAATTCCCACCCAATCCCTTTTCCAGCTGTCATGATGAGTCCATCAGCTTCTTCATGCTCCAGGGAGAGGCAGGAACAAGTAGGTTCTAGTTAATAATGTGTTTTGGTGAAGAGTCCATGGCATGATTTCCTGGATCTAGTTTTTCATACCCACTCAGTGATATTCTCATGATGTTTAAAAATCTGCTTACTCAAGGGCTTACTTTATTCATTTTATTTATTTACTTTCATTGGCAGTACCCTGCATTTCCATTGCTCTCAAACCACATTCATAACTTTCTTAAACTGAGCCAGCTGTGATAGAAGGATTTCAGGAACAGTGGGCTGGAGCTTGGTGAGGAAGGAGAACTACCAAACTTTTAAGTTTTTGCAGCATTTGGGAAGCAAGAGCTCTATTACACTTTTCTGAACTGATCCATGAAATTTATTGAGTGGTACACTGACAGAATTAGAATTTACATGTATATGTATATATGTATATATTTATCTATCTGTATTTATTTGTGTGTGTTTAGGGTGGGGTTTTTCCATCACTGTTCAGTGTAGGCAAGAACTACAATATAGATTGTAGATCAGAAAGCTAAAGCCTAGTGGTATTTCTGAAATAATTTCCAGTTCTATATATCCTGGTGCGCGAATTCCTGAAATTCAGCCCTCTCTGCACAACTGAACTTTTCCTACTATTACAAGTGTTCCATCAGCATTTGTCAAGGAAGAACATCCCCTTCAGGGTTGGGTGGTGGTAACAATTACATTTGTCTTAACTGGTGAGTCAACACTGAAAATCTTCCTTTGTCCTTTGCCTCTGTAATAGAAGAGTGCTAAGTCACATTCCTTATTGTTCTTCTCCAAAGATGGTTAAGGGAGGGGGAGAGACAGATGGAGAAACAGAAATGGCAAATTTGTTTTTCTTTTAAAATACTTTATCTGAATTGACTCAGAAAATAGGAAGCTTCTAAATAAAATTTATTACTAATCATAGCTAGCAGGCTATTTTTCAATTGATGTTTCAATATTAATTTTAAGGGCAAGGTGTTCACTGCTGGTGTAAATAGCTAATACTTTAGATTTAATGTATATTAGTGTTTTAATTCAGAGGAGCCATAATAAGTAGAAAAAGTAAAATATTTTTCTTGACATTGTACTGATTTTCACTTGATAAAAGACTATACAGTATTAGGCCTTTGATTTGTGTAAATTTAAGGTTTCTCTGTTCATCAAAATGACAGTGTTGAGACTTACCAGGAATGCGTTGAGACTGACATTGCATAGTAAGATAAGAAAAATAATGCATTAAACTGAATCAAAATGCTGTCATTTATATGGCTCTAATTTATCAAGGGACTGAAAAGCCTGATCTGCCATTTTAACACTTCTGTTAAAAATGCTGCTTGACTTAGCACATATTCTGTGAATGCTACTGTACATGTCTCTAAATGTTTAAGTGAGCTGTGGATCTGTGCTCTCTCAGATCTTTCTTTAGACCATGTCTAATTTATTAGATTAAAAAGTACAAGAACTATTTGAACATGTATTCATTTTAAGCATCTTAAAATTAAACTATTCCTTTGGCAAATAGAAACTGATAAATCACCCAGCGTTTTTCTGATTCATATTTTAAAGGTTGGAAGAAAGGTTCTCATTTCATAGGCACTAACAGTATCTTGGCTCAGTTTCCATTCTGAGGTATTGGTTAACACAGGACTCTGCTTACTTATAGCCTGGTTTGAGGGAGCCTGAAAAACAACTTCTTTTTCTTCGGACAGGAAAAGGAAAGTAACCAAGTAGGATAGGACAACTTGGTTCTTTCTATAGTGACATGCAGTGGATGGTAATGAAATGCAGTGAGTTCATGGTATTTGAGCTCTTGATGATTGAGCCTGCTCAGTATTCAGAACAATTTATATGTTTTGTTATCATCAGTTTACATAGGTGTTTCCCTTTTGAGTGCCTGTCACACAGACCGAGCGCTCGCTGCCCGCCGCCCGGCCCGGGACAGGCGCGCAGTGAGGGCAGCCCCGCCCGGGCCCGTGGCGCTGCCCACGGCGGCCCTCGGCTCTCAAACAAAACTAGTAATTGTGGAAACTGCGATGGAGTCATTCCTGCCTAGAAAGGTGACTTTAGTTTCCTTGAGGGACTCAGCTCTGCCTTTTCCCCGGCTCGGTGCGGCCCAGGAGGGGGAGGCTCCTGGTTCCCGGGGCGGGGCCGAGCCGGGCCGTGGCTGCCCCGCACCCGAGCAGGGGAGCGGCAATAGCGGCAGCCCCGGCCCCGGGCCGCTTACCGGGACCGCGCCCATCTCCTGGGAATTACCGGGGCAATGGCAGAGTCACCTGGGCTCTGTCAGAGCCGCTCTTCTCCGTCCGTCACGGGGCCGTCACTTTACCCGGCAGTCCGGGTAAAGGCAGTGCCATAAGGGACCAGAAGAAGCTGTTCAGTCCATTGTTTTACCTGAATTTCTGTTGGTCCTGCCGAAATGAACAGGCTTTGAATAGAGTATTTCTAGACCAGCTCGAAATAGTAATTGTCATTTGAATAGTGATTGTTGAATAATTTGCAAGTGTTCGTTTATATTACAGTACTTTATTACCGTGCAGATATTTTCTTTCTGTTTTAATACCATCAAAGTTGAAGACATGCTTTCAGTTTGGGCCTTATGAACAAAATAGACATGACTTTGTCTGACTCTTTTTTCTGAATCACATTATCAGTTCTACTAGTTGCTCGTGACTGTGCTGAAAGAGGTGTTTAGGAAGGAAACTTGGTTGGTTGCTTAGCAGCGAGCATCATGAGAATTACAATTTTAAAGCTGCAGTGTCTGTATTTCTGTAATAGCTTTAAATTAGATATTTGTAATAGCTTGCTTTCCTTTAAGTGTGTGTTCATATTTGGCTGTCTTTGGGGGGAATGTAATGTGCTGGTCAAGGTGACTCCCATCACCCTGAGCCTGGGGCTGCCTGGGCATCTCACAGACAGAGGGAGTGTGGGACACAGTGGGGATGCAAGGAAAAACTGTTCTGTGATTGCACATGGCTTGGACAGTCTGGGGAGGCACCAAAGGCGTTGTGAGGGTCAGGGAGAGAATGGAGGCTTCAAGATGATAGGTTGAACAAAAGCCAAATTCTTGTGACATTGTGCTTAGAGAGGTGACACTGGGAAGGAAGAATGAAGCTCTTTAAACTTGAATGAACAGAATCATGCTGTTCTTTGTCCAGTGCCAAAGCAGTACAGTCTCAATAATTTGAAAAAAATTAGTCTTGCCACATGTATTGTACAGCATTCCTTCATTGCAATATTTTGTAAGCTGTGGGTACAGTGTGCTGATAACCTTGTATTTTAACCTTCTTTTATAATAATTTTTTTATATCCTTTTTTTTTAATGTTGGCAAGGTACAAGGTTATGTATGAGACCTAATTAAAATCCATTCCAGGTCAAGCTATTAATACATCTAAGTTGGCAAGTACTTGGGTTGTAAATATACTGCTATTAGTGCTATCTGAAAGAAAAATCACTTGGAATGAAAAGAGAATACTGTAAAAATAATACCCAAGTATTTAGAGGGATACTATTTGAATAAATAGCATGAAAGAACAGATGTTTTTTAAGTCTAACTTAAACCTAACTAGTCAAGATTGGGATTTCCATTCAAATGCAATTGTGTTTTTATTTCATATGGCATAAAGGACTTAAACTACCACAGAATTCTTTAAGTTGGAAGAAGTCCTCCAGGATCATGAAAAAGTATGGTTATTCTTTTTTAAAAATTATGTTGATTGACTCAAAACTTGACCTTCTAGGTTTTTTTTTTTTTTTTTAGGTATGAGTGATTAGCATTTTCCTAAGGAAATTAGGCTTTTGAGCAGCTGTCTCTGTGTGCGTGTACATTTCTGTTTCCATAAACTGGAGTGCAGTCTGGTAGAATGTTACTGCTCTGCCTGTTTATGGTTATTATATATTACTATATAAAGGTTTTGCAGGTTAATAATCTCAGTTTCACTTTGAGACAATTTTAGGGGGTTGGTTAGGCCAATATGGACCTGTCTCAGAGATCCTTTGACTTTTTTATGGTGTTGCTTATCAAATTTTATCACTCTTCTAGACCTGTTGTTCTTTGAAATATTCCCATAGACAACAGAACTCCACCATTAATGTAGGGAAATAGTCAAGAAAGAAACTTTTCTAAGACTTACTAGCAGAGCTTTGAACTAGATTCATCAGGGGAAGAGATGTGCTTCTGAGTGTCAGAGAGGAACCAGGAAACACCAGCACTCCAGAAAGTGTGGTGGTGTGTTTTCCAGACAGGGAAACACCTGTAAATAGTCCCAAAGGAATTAGGGATGGCCTCTCACAAATGATGAAGAGGCTGTTCTCTGATTCTGTAAGTGATGTATTAGGTGCTGTGATTTTCTGCATCTTGTTACCTAAAACCAAAAGGATATGAAAAAATGAATAAGCTTTGACTTATATGCACACTGGTGATGCTTTTAATTTTCTTTTGTGGCTTGTATTATTTTTTTAAATGTCTGTTCTGTACTCCAGAAGACACTTTTGCTAGGTAAACTTGTTGGTTCTGATAGTAAATCCTTACTGAAGGAGGCTGAAATGGTTTGTGTTAAATTTTATGCATAGTGGAACACTGCACAGTTGTTCCTAGTGTAGACAGGCTGTTCTTGCAGTAGAAGACACGTTTCTAGTGAAAATGGTGTCTCACCCTTTTCTGGGTTATTATCTTTAAATATTACTGAGATAATCCATTCCAGTTCTATGTTTATTGTGTGGGAATTGTCCTCCTTTTGTAGGTGGAGTAACTGAGGGAGGGAAAGAGAGTCTTATTTGTGATTACACAGACAGTGTAATTATATGCTTTATTATAATCAGTTTACATAGAAATGTGAATGACTGGGGACATCTACTGACTTGTAAACAAAATCATTGTAGTTGAATATTTTACAGAATTGATCAAAACCTAATTTTAAATATTTTTTTCTTTCTTTTCAAGGAACTTCATGTTGGTGTTGCTTATGCCAGAATATAGTAAGCAAGGCAGATTAGCTCCAGCCTTGTGTAAACTTTTAATTGGCCAACATGATGCAATTGGGCATGAATTCCAGGTGGCTTTGGAAATGAACGAGAACTGAGCGCTCTGGCTGGAAGCTGAACGTGATGACGGCCTGGTCTATGGTAGGGAAGCTGAAAATGGAGAAGAGGCACTCCAGAGAAGACAGAAATGTGGAGCAAGATGTGGGGGAATGCAGTGCTGAATCTGAGGAATGGACGAGCTCAGAAAGTGAGCCTGAGCAACCATACTTCAGAGGCAGTGCTCAGTGGAGAGAAAAGGAGGTTTCCACCAAACCGCATCGGCCGCTCTGCCGGTCCCCATGCCTGGATCGCCCAAGCTTTTCACAGAGCAGTATCACACAAGACTTGAAGCTAGATGAATGCAAAACAAATTTGGACAAGGAATACCAAGCTAAAATGGATTTTGCTTTAAAGCTTGGGTATGCAGGAGATCAGATCCAGGCTGTACTGAATAAGTTGGGAGCGGATGCGCTCATCAATGATGTTCTAGCAGAGCTTGTGAGACTTGGCAACAAAAGTGAATCAGAGGGACAAAGCACTGCCAGCAGTACCACTGGTACTCTGGTGTCAAGAGGCCCTTGCCCAAAGGAAATAACAAGCCCTGAATTGTCACTGGAAGATGAAGTGGTGGATAACAGTGATAACTTGAGGCCAATTGTCATTGATGGAAGCAATGTTGCTATGAGGTGGGTGTCCCTGTCACAATATTTGAAAATAATAAATCACTAAAATATTTTAAAAAATACTTTTTACTGATGGCAAAGTCATTTTAAGTCATGTAGACTATTACACTGATAATACATCTATTTTATGGACTCTTTAGTCAAGGCTTTTAATTATGCTGTTACTCCTTTATACGTAATCCATATTCCAGTTCCCCTGCCCTCATTTTAAATCCAAGTTCTCACCTCAAGTCTTTTGTTCAAGCAATCTATTTGTAGTGTGCTTTTGTGTGGGTGGGTTTAGTATTTTGAAGTCCTTGAACAATACTGAAAATTGTTTCTGGACATTAAAGGAAAGTAACCAAGTAGGGCAGGAAAACTTGATTCTTTTTAAAGTGTCATGCAGTGGATGGTAATGAAATGCAGTGAATTCATGGTATTTGAGCTCTTGATGATTGAGCCTGCTCAGTATTCAGAGCAATTTAGCTGTGTCAGAACAGAGATAACACATGAGCTAAACCTGCTGACCAGCATGGCTACGCTGCTTGCCCCTTGTGACTCAGGATATTCTATGTACACTTGGCTGCTTAGGTTAACGTAACCCAAGAGATACCTGTCCCATACCACTTTTGAATATGTCTGTAGAGTACAGAGTTCAGCTAGCCATTGTTTATCATTGAGTAAGTGTGATTTTTTATGAGGGAGTTGTGTGCTGTTTTAGAGACTCCTTTGAGTTTCAGAAAACAAATTTTTGATGGGCACGGGACTTAAACAACTTTTACACAATTACTTCTTTCCTCTAAGAAGTTCTAATAAAAATGAAGAACATTTAGTATCAGAGGAAAATATTTGATTAATATAGATGTTTAAAAGCACTTATCACCCATGGCAATCAGCATTGCTCATTCCTCTTTTTGTAGTAGCATTTTATGGTGCTACTTAAGGTGAACTCAGTTTGTCGGGGAAAGCAATATTTTTCACTAGGTCAGCTAATAAAATGAAAAAAACTGAAAAACTTCATGTTTACTTGCTTTTGCTCTGGGGATAGTAAAATTTCATCATTTACAGACTTTTTAAGTAGCATGGTTGCTGTAATCTGACAGCTGAATAGCTCTATACAGTTGTCTTTTTCCAGTTATGTAAGGAGGCTTAATAAAACTTTACAGACTTTGTTTTCCTTATATCCTTTGACCATGGCAGCTTTAGAAGAAAAAAAACAACCAAACCACCAAAACAAAAACCAAAACCAAATGTAACTTTTGTCCTTGCTGTTTCTAAAACTTGCATGTTCTTCAGCCATGGGAACAAAGAAGGATTTTCCTGCCGGGGAATTCAACTAGCTGTTGATTGGTTTCTGGAAAAAGGACATAAAGATATCACTGTGTTTGTACCTGCATGGAGAAAAGAACAGTCTCGACCTGATGCACCAATTACAGGTAACACCAAGATTTTCTTTGACCCCTTGGTTAAAAAAAAAAAAAAAAATTGTCATGTTTCTGATGGGTCCCAGTACTGGGCTGTAGATGTGGTGATGATGATGTTGCACTCAACTGTTTGTTTGAAAACACAACAGTTTCATTGGTTAGGAAAAAAGCATTTAAATATCTGCATGTGTTAACAATGATGTGGGTTTTGTAACATTATTGGATGGCTTCAACACTTTTGAGAAGCTGCAGTTGAATTTTTCCCATTCACAAATGTTGAGCATACAGGAACTGAGTCTTATTTGCTGGGTGAGCATGAAATAAGTAGTAACAGGCCAGGGACTCAGTTAGTAGGGTTAGTTGAACACTGAAAAGGCAGCATATGTTTTTACCAATAGAAAGTCCTTGCATTTTACTCTAGGCTAACAAGGCTATTGTAATACAGTAACACCTGAATTTCTGACATGTTCAAGAAGACTGAGTAAAGGTACATGGCTACACAGAGTGGTTATGAAGTTCAAATATTGAATATTTACTCAGTGCTTTGAAACCTCAGAAATAAAATCCACATCTAGGTGTGGATTTTAATCATAACGAGGACTGTGTATGAATATAATTGCAAGATACTTTGTCAGACAAAAAAGGCAAGAATTTTCATAATACAAAGGTTGCATTTCTTTCTTTTAATAATTTTTTTTAAAACTGCTCAACTAAAATTATTTTACAGATCAAGAAATCTTACGTAAATTGGAGAAAGAAAAAATTCTTGTTTTCACCCCATCTCGAAGAGTTCAGGGAAGAAGAGTGGTTTGCTATGATGATCGATTCATAGTAAAACTTGCCTTCGACTCAGATGGCATCATTGTGTCCAATGACAACTATCGGGATCTTCAGAATGAAAAGCCAGAGTGGAAGAAGTTCATAGAGGAGCGGCTGCTAATGTATTCTTTTGTGAATGACAAGTATGGGTTTTTTCTTCAATAGTAAATGAATTTGCTAGCTCAGCATTCTCAGGAAAAACTGGTCATGTTTAATTTCTTTTCCCTTAGATTTATGCCTCCAGATGATCCTTTAGGACGTCATGGTCCAAGCCTTGAAAATTTCTTGAGAAAAAGGCCAGTCATTCCTGAACATAAGAAACAACCGTGTCCTTATGGTAAGTGCCCAAGTCAGATTGATTTGTTGCATTTAAAGGTAGGTGAAGCTAGCAATCAACATCTTGTCATTATCAGAACAAAATGTACTACTTTTCATGTTTCCATCCAAGCACAATGTTGCTTTTATACCCCTCATGCACATATTTATAAAAACAGTGTAGCAGAAAATTGAGGATTACGAGATACACCTTGTGCATAATACAGCTTTTTGCTATTTTAATCTGGTTTGTATTTGAGAGAGGAGATTTGTAATTTATAAAACTATGTTAAAGCTGATTTGTTTTTATAGCACTGTGTGTATGTTGTCATGATTGAAATCATAAGTCAGTAGGAAAAAAAATTGTGTGTCTTGCCTTTGATGCAGATAGACATGGATGCAGACAGCAGAGTCTGTGACTGCCTGTATATATAAAAAATACATCATTATCCTTAAAGGTTTAATATAGAAATACTACTTTTGCCAAGTGGTGAAAGATGTAAAGAAAAAAGATAGCAACTGGTGGTATGAATGAGTTTTTGATTTATTTAACCTGAAAACCCTTTTCTTTCAGGTAAAAAGTGCACCTATGGGCACAAATGTAAATATTACCACCCAGAACGTGCAAACCAGCCTCAAAGGTCAGTAGCGGATGAGCTTCGAATAAGTGCCAAATTATCTGCTGTGAAAACTATGAGTGAGGGAGCCTTGGCCAAATGTGGCACAGGGCCATCCAGCTCCAAAGGAGAAATCAGTTCTGAGGTGAAACGCATTGCCCCAAAACGTCAGTCAGATCCAAGCATTAGGTCAGTAGCTGTGGAGCCTGAGGAAAAGTTATCAGCAGCCCGGAAGTCCGAGGCCAGCTCTGTCCCGTCTCTGGTTTCTGCATTAAGTGTACCAACGCTCCCTCCACCAAAAAGCCATGCAGCTGGTGCATTAAATACTCGTTCTGCAAGCAGTCCGGTGCCAGGTTCCTCACAGTTCGTACATCAGAAATCCTCACTGGAACATATGTCCAGTGTGCAATATCCTCCTATACTAGTCACCAATAGCCATGGCACCTCAGTTAGCTATATTGACCAGTATCCCAAATATGAGTCGCTGGGGGACCATGGCTATTACTCCTTACTCAGTGATTTCTCCAACTTAAGCATAAGTAGTATCCGTAACTCAGATTATTACGGGGCTGATATGGACCAGGGGATGTATTCTAGAAACTCAAGCCCCTGTCCTGACAATTGCTTAAGCCATACAAGTAATGATTCTTATTCCTCTTACAATGACTTGTATCTGGGTGTAGCAGATGCCAGTCCAGAAGACAATGTGAAGAGCCACAGACTGCCATCGAAAAATCGTCTTCAGCCTTTCCCTCATGGTTACCATGAAGCCTTAAATAGAGGTCAGAGTTACGGACCCGAAGAGCCTAAGCAATCCCTTCGCAAACAGTCAGTTTCCCACTTAGGCCTACATGCCCAGCATCCAGTTGTTGGAGCACGGTCCAGTTGTCCAGGAGAATACCCTGTGCCTCAAAACGTTCATCCATCAACTGCACAACCAAGCCGTGCCTTGGTGATGACCAGAATGGACAGCATTTCTGACTCTCGGCTCTATGAGAGTAACCCCACGAGGCAGAGGCGGCCACCTCTGTGTCGGGAGCAGCACGCCAGCTGGGACCCACTGCCCTGTGCATCAGACTCCTACACCTACCACTCCTACCCACTGAGTAACAACCTCATGCAGCCCTGTTATGAACCTGTCATGGTTAGAAGCATGCCTGAGAAGATGGAACAGCTCTGGAGAAATCCCTGGATTGGGATATGTGGTGAGCCAAGGGAACCTCACATCATCCCAGAACATCAGTATCAAACATACAAGAACCTCTGCAATATTTTCCCTCCAAGTGTTGTCCTTTCTGTGATGGAGAAGAATCCCCACATGACAGATGCACAACAGCTGGCAGCTATGATTGTTGCCAAATTAAGAACAGGGCGTTAGAGCAGTACAGCCTCTTTTGGATAATTGAACCTGTACAGCACATAGGACCCAGAGGAAAACTTACATGAAGGAAGAGGCTAATCTATTGTAAATATTTTCTACTAAGATAGTATAAAGTTCTGTACACAGTAGCAATCATATATATGCTGAGGCACTATATAAAAGTTGATTGTATTGCAAATCTTAAGATTTTAAAATATAGGGATTTTTAATAGTATTTTATAGGAAATGCATACCTTGCTGCATGGATAGCTCACTAAGAACTATAATGTCACAATCAGTGTCTCAAAGCTGTTACTACAAAATTAGTGTTAGCAATTATATTGCATGTATTAGTGTACACTTACAATTTGCTTATAAATACCTAATCGGCCTCTAAAAGTATGCTCTATACACACCAAGATGACTTTTAGGGTTTCAGCTTTGTCATTTGACACTGCCTAGTGGCATCTTAAGTAGTGAAGAAAAAGTAAATTTGCTAAATTTAAAAATTAAAATTGCTTATAAAAGGAAAAACTGATTTCAGATTTTCAATGTCAACATAGTTGTTGTTACTTAAATTTCAGAACTGCCCCTCAAGAGTTTGAATAACTATTATTACATTGTTCAGTATGTTGGCTCAATCCAACAGAAACCAAATACTTTATTAAATTAGGACCAAAACATTAAAGAATGTAAAGGCATGAGTGCCATTCAGGAAACTGAAACTGTAACTGTAGCTTCTCTCCAGAATCTCCCCTCAAACGTGCAGTAAGCAGCTGCTGGCCCAAATAACTAGACAAGCTGAAAATAAATTGTCAGTATTATGTAAACTGGATTACTCAACTTGAAGCAGCAAAAACTGGATGTTAACATGGAAGTTCATCAGTAACTGCAGCCCTTCTTCTGGGAGCAAGGAAGGTGTTTGACATTCAAGGTAGCTGTACAAGATCATCTTCAGAAAGGGTGGAGGGGGAAGGCTGCTGCTTGAAAAGAGATGCTCCAGTTTGGGTTTGTGGCAGAGCTGTCCTGGTTTTTGCTCTTCACATCCACGCTAAGGTGTGCATTTGCCTCGTGTAGGCTTTTAGAGTTCCTGTTTCAACAGGTGAGCTAACTTTGTGTGGCATTGTTTGCGCAACTGGTATCTTGCTCAGGGTGGGAACCTTTGTAGCTAAATGTCTCCAAAAGAGGCGTTTATTGGTTTTTTTAAGCTGCACTGACTGTACGCCCTTTTTTGAATCCACTGTATATTTCAACATTTTGAACCATGACTAACTCGACATGTCTCGAGCTAGGACTTGTTGACTTCTACTGTAGTTTTTTTCATGAAAGTTGAGAAGGCCTGGTTTATGGCCTTTTGTTTCTTCATGAGAAGGTGTGACACTGCCTAAATGTTTCTTACTGTGAAACACACAGAACGTGAGGCTGCAGTCAGGGTTGTTTCTGGTGTTTTGATAATGGCTTGCATGCTGCTTTCTAGTTATCTGTTTGTCTGAGAAACAAAGTTTATCATTTCCTCCACTTGTGTTACTGTAGTGGTTGGTTTGATTCAGAAAATCTTGTGGGCTCTTTATCACATGCAAAATAGGTTCCTGTCATATAAAAAAACCCACCAAATGAACCAACAAGAAACCCACCAATTGTTGCACCAATTATGGGTGCAACTACAGTTAATTTACTGACATTTGATAACTGTATCATTTCACACAGGATAAATTTTCTTGTGTTGGTACAGGTGATGTATATAATGACTATGTCATTATGTATCTGAAATGAAGTAATTTGAAGGTGATCCTGTACTTACAAATAACTTAAGTTTCAATTAGTTGGTTATTCTCTCTGTTAGTGGGGAAAATGATTCAGACACTTACAACAGCTGGGGGAAAACAGATTTAACTCTTGACCGGTTTTCAAAAACATTTCATATTTTTAATTTGCAATTAATTCTTATTCTCTTCTCTTGCATGATATAAGCAGCTGAGAGCAATGCCTCAAATAACCAGAAATGACCTTTTGTTTGTTGATACAAATTGTATCTCTTTTTCTTGATTGTATAAAAACTGTGTATAAAAAAAAATAATCTCTAGATTAACTTCAGTATTACATTTTCACCACAACGTTTGTGACACCATGTGTCACAGGGAAGTAGCCCATGAATAATTATGGATTTTTTTATTTAAAATGGGCACTTGTAGTTTATAGACAAACAGGGACAACTTTTGAGAACCAGGTTATTATGTGCACAAATACTGTGTGTACACCTCAAAGCATTACATAGGTATCTTCAGTCTATTTATTAAGCAGATACATTCTTGCACTAAACTTTATGTAAAAATGTTGCTGTTAACTCATCTGCATGTGTTTAAAATGTAACAGTAATTGCTATAGACCCTATTTTATTCTAACCAATTAATTTATAAATTATTTAGGTATGAGATGAAGTTTATTGTGCACTCATGTTTTCCATCTTGCATGGAATTAAATATTTGTATGCAGAAAAATGTTTGTTCCATTTTTCTCCATTTATAAAGATAAGCTATTTTAAGAGAGGATCAGTAGGTGATTTTGATGTTTTCTAATGTGGAAAACTCAACAGAGATTTCTGTATGAAGCGCTGGGTGGCTTATGGAGATATCCATTTTTGTTGGATCTGTCCAGTCATTTTAATTTTCACTAACCTTTGTTTTACTGATGGAAGAATTCCTTTTTAAACATTGGGAATGCTGTGAGAACACAAACCCAGCATACTATTTCCCTAAGGCACTTCAGAGGCAAATTGTCTTATTCTGAGAAGCTATTGGCATCTCTCATGCATAGTTACAGAATTGGCAGCGCAGCCTTGTGGAAATAACCTGCAAATTTTGTGCTTGTTTAGTCCTCCTTAGAGGTAATGCAACTTTTCTATGTGATGTAGTCTTTCCTGGTCAACTACTTTAAGTGATAATTTGGTCATCCACACCTGTTTTCAGCTATGTTTACAAGACAGTTCAGGACACTGACACGTTCATTAATCTTTAGCGCATAAGCTTGGATTTCTTCTTACATGGAAGAGTTGATCTTAGTAACACCTGATCATAACTGTCTATATTGTAAATATAAGACTTTGTATAAATGCTCTTTTTTAGAGCATGGTATTTAAATGTTTTTAAAACTGTAAAAGAACAGTTCTAGAAACTATATTTTAATAAAATCCATGAAAAAACAATTCTAGATGAGGGGGGAAAAAAGTGTGAAGGTAAAATCATGGACTACTGCAGTTGATAAGAGTTGAGCAGTAGATTTTAGTGCTTTACTGGGGCCAGAGCATTCTCTGGGAGTTCTGATTTACTTCTCTTTCATCTTCAGCTATATTACTTTCACATAATTTGTCACTTAAAAGTGTGTAACTTTAAATTCATCAATCAAAAACCAAATGCTTTATGGGATGTCAGTCTGAATTATTTCATGTTTTTTGTAAGAATTACATGTCAGTAATATAGTAAATTGTACATGATTTCACTGCTGTTAGTCCTGTTGTTGTCATATTGAGCTGCAGTAGTTGGCTTTATTCATTTGTAGAATTAAACATTACTGTTTAATTGTTGTAAAATTTTATAAATCTCTTTGGGTTTTTTTGGTTGACCCAAATATAATGTAAGTCTTAATGACAAAATGAGTGAAAATGGATGTTAAACCAGTATGTGGTATTCTTAAATCTCTGTAGTGGTAAGTGGGCACTGCTCTAGTTGCTGCAGCATGTAATTTATTTACTAGCATGAGTCTGTTTAGCTTTTGTAAAAATGCTTTAGCTGTAAAGTTAAAAATAGGTGTGGAGTATGGTTGCTTAGAACAAGCAGAAGGAGCTTCATTGAAAAAAAAAAACAAACAAAACCAAAAACATCTAAGTAGGTGAGTTTCCCCCTACATACTTCTAATGCCAGTTTGTCCCAAATTATGCATTTTGGTGTTTTGTTCAAATAATAAAATTAAAAATACTTGATGACCTGTATGCATACCTGATCTATATCAATCCACAAACAGGAACATTGGATTATTGTAATTTTTATAACTCCACACTAAGGGGAAGGAACGTGCAACATTTCTGTGAAACTTTGTTCCAAAGTTGAAGTATTACTTGATCTTGACTTGCCAAAAGTTTACCTGAAGCATCTGTCACAGTTACCTCTCTGGTGAGCATTCAGCTTTCACACTCCTGATGTACCTATTGCTTGTTTGTGTGACAGAGCCCTCATTGAGTGTATTTCCTTCAATATTTCAACTGGAAAAATACAATTGCACCATCACATAAATTATTCTTATGCCAGTGTTTGGTTAGCCTTTCAAGAGTCATTATACAATATTGCTGATTTTGGTCTGTATTTAAAGTTTGTAAATGTATTAAAAGAATTGCAAGAATCTAAAAGAAGTATAGGCTATCACCTGTTCCCCTCCTGCTCTATGTAAATGTTTTGCACAATTATTTAATAATATGAAATATGTTATAGTTTATATATATATAAAAATTTTTGCTTATTTAATAAAACTGAGAGCCATTGGATTATTTGTTTTTAGCTTTTTATTTTTCAACCCTCTTTAGACAAGACCCCTAAAAAGCTTTTTTGCTCATAACAACTGTTGCAGTCTGTCCAAGTTATTTCTTGGGGTTTTTTTTAGCTGATTGACTGAAAAAATACCCTTTAGGTGGGGTAATGGCAGATACACAAGGCAGTAACTACAGCTGATCAAGGTATTGTAGTAGTTGTAGTAGCAGCACATGATTTAACCAAATGCAGTTTCTCCAATGAGTAAGAAAATGTTGCAGATGGCACAGTATGTGCCAGCACATCCTTATTTGAACTGTTATGCTTGTTTGCAATAGAAAATACAGTAATTTAAGTAATTTCATACTCAGCTAAATGCAGTAATAAAAGAACAAATCCCTTTCACTCAGAATTTCCTAAATAAGCCTAATTAACTACTGGGTAAAAGAAGCATTTCTAAAAATACTTGAAAGGAGAAGAGCTTCCATGAAAAATCCCTCAAAACAGAAAGTTTATTTCCTTTTGCATTGGCACTGCTTGCTTTTATCGAAGGAAACATGCAATTTAT